GAAGAAGCTGCTGAAGGAGCACTTCCACCCCAAGGTGTCCGTTATCTCATGGCGCCACACCTTCGAACAGAGGGATCAACGGTCCGGTGAGTCAGCCAAGGAATACATCGCCGCGTTACGGAAGGCCGCCAAGCCCTGCGAGTTCAAGGACCTCGAGGAACGACTGAGGGACCGATTCGTGTGCGGGTTAAGGCATCGAGAGCTACAACAGAGACTTTTCGCTAAGGAAGAATTATCCTTCCAAGACGCCTTAAGGGAAGTCACCGCAGAAGAAGCAGCAGGCGGCGCCGTCAAGAACATGCGGCCGATCAGAAGCAGTGCAGAGGGTGCGTCCGTGCACCAAGAAGACGTCCGACGAAACTCCGAGGAGGATCCGGACGAAGAAGTCGACCGTCTACACCCCGCGAAGGAAGAGAACCAGAAGGGAAGCTCTTCGGCTCCGCTCAAGTGCATCGGCTGTGGAGGTCGCCACAGGAGAACCGACTGCAAGTTCCGCTCCGCTACCTGCCGGGCATGCGGCAAACAAGGGCATATTGCAGCTGTGTGTCTGGGCCGACGAAAGGCACAACCCCAAGAAGAACGCCTGAAGGGTACCAGATTCCCCAGCCAGAATAGGGTAGGTTTTTGCGCTTCGCGAAGAAGCATCTGTAGAACAGGCACACACAAGCCCATGAAGAAAAAGCTGTCACTCAACGTGAAGCTACAAGGGGTTCCATTATCTATGGAACTAGACACAGGGTCTGCCCTTTCCATCATTTCATTGCATACATTTAGGAAGATTTGTTCCAGTAGTGGGACTAAGGCCAAGTTAAGGCCTTCTGATATTGTATTAACAGATTTTCAGAACTCAAGAGTGTGTGTTAAGGGGGAGGCCACCCTTAACGTGCAATACAAGAGTTTTGAAGGTCCACTAGACTTATTAGTAGTAGGGGGTGAACGAACGAGTCTCATAGGACTCGATTGGTTTGAGGCCCTGGGGATACACGTCACAGGACTCAACAGCTTACAAACACTCGACCTACAGGAAGTCTGCAAAGAATTTGCAGATGTTTTCAGCCCCCAGCTGGGCACATTCAAAGGACCACCTGTGTCCTTAAAGCTAGACCCCACTGTCACTCCCATTAGGATTAAAGCAAGAAGGGTCCCTTTTGCTTTAAAAAGTAAGATTGATATTGAATTAGACAAACTAATCCAACAGGGAATCCTAGAACCTGTTGATTCCAGCCCGTGGGAGACCCCCATTGTCACGCCTCTAAAGGCAAATGGGGACATTCGCATTTGTGCTGATTACAAATGCACACTCAATAAGGCATTGCAGCAACATGCCTATCCTGTTCCTGTGGTCAGTCACATCCTGGCCTCTCTCAAGGGGGGGCGTGTTTTTGCAAAGCTTGACCTAGCTCAAGCATATCAACAGCTGCCTGTTGATGATGATGCTGCCATAGCTCAGACCATTGTGACCCACAGGGGAGCCTTCAAGGTAAAAAGGCTACAGTTTGGAGTGAATGTCGCTCCTGGGATTTTCCAAAGCGTAATGGAAAACACACTACGAGGTATACCAGGGGTCTGCCCCTACTTTGACGATGTCTTGATTGCAGGAGACTCCACACACATTCTAGCTGAAAGGCTTAGGGCTGTCCTGTTAAGATTCAGGAAATCAGGCCTCAAGCTCAGAAAAGACAAATGCAAGATTGGGGTGCCTTCTACTGAATTTCTGGGATTCAAAATTGATGCTGCTGGGATTCATCCTGCTGAATCCAAACTAACTGCTATTTTAGAAGCACCCAGGCCAAAGTCTAAGGCCGAACTTCAGGCCTTCCTAGGCCTCCTGAATTTCTACAATTCTTTTCTTCCACATAAAGCTAGTGTAGCTGAGCCTCTTCACAGGCTACTAGACAAACAAGCTGTGTGGCTGTGGTCACAAGCACATGAGGCTTGCTTTAAAGAAGTCAAGGCCTTGCTCACTTCTAACAGTGTTCTTGCACATTTCAACGAGTCTCTTCCTGTGTGCATCGCTTGTGATGCGTCCCCCTACGGGGTTGGAGCTGTCCTGAGTCACCTCAGGTCTGATGGAACTCAGGTTCCTATTGCATACTACTCCAGAACACTGTCTTCTGCCGAGCGCAACTACGCTCAGATAGACAGGGAGGCTCTGGCTGTTGTTGCTGGAATTAAAAAATTCCACGATTTTCTATATGGCAGGCATTTCACGGTCTTCACTGACCATAAGCCTCTGCTGGGACTGTTTACCACACGTAAGCAGACTCCCCACATCATTTCCCCTAGAATGCTTAGGTGGTCTATTTTTTTTGTCTGCATATGATTTTTCATTACTCCACAAGCCTGGGAAAGAAATGGGCCATGCTGATGGCCTCAGTAGATTGCCTCTGCCAGTAGTAGAAGCTGACCCTGCGCCAGCTGTCAACATTCTATCAATCCAAGCCTTGCCCGAGCTCCCTCTTAGTGCCAGGGATGTTACCGCTGAAACAGGTACAGATCACACACTTTCACGTGTCCGCTCCTGGGTCCTGTCCGGGTGGCCTGAGCACTGCCCTAGTCCTGAGTTTCAGAGTTTCTGGTCCAAAAGGAACGAACTGTCCCTTTCTCAGGGTTGTCTGCTTTGGGGAAACAGAGTTGTCATTCCCACCTCAATGAGGACTAGGGTCTTAGAATCCCTCCACGAGGGTCATCCTGGCATTGTTCGTATGAAGGCTCTTGCACGAAGCCACTTGTGGTGGCCTGGTTTAGATAAAGATATTGAGGCTAAGGTACACGCATGCCACCTGTGCCAACGATCTCGCCCAGAGATGCCCCAAGCTCCTGTGCATAGATGGGAGGAAACACAGTCCCCATGGTCTAGGGTGCACATTGACTACGCTGGGCCCTTTCAGGGCCAGTTCTTCTTGGTCCTTGTTGACAGCCATTCAAAATGGCTTGAGGTTGTGCCTGTCTCACTGCAACTGCAGACTATTCAGGTACTGAGGGGGATTTTTGCTGCACACGGGCTGCCAGATGTCATTGTGTCCGACAACGGCCCTCAATTCACCTCCTCCGAATTCCAAGCTTTCTTACAGGCAAACCTGATTCGTCATGCCACGTCTGCGCCTTTTCACCCGTCCACCAACGGTATGGCTGAACGCATGGTGCGCATCGCAAAGGACGCCTTGAAGAGACTCACCTACGGGGACTGGCATCACAGGTTGGCTGACTTTCTCCTTTCTTATCGCACCACACCGTCCACTTCTACAGGGAGAAGTCCAGCTGAACTTCGTTGGGGGCGCCAACTTACTACTAGACTTGACCGGTTGCATCCGGACAGACTGCCTTCATCTACCTCACATCCTAGGGCACCTAGACAACTACTTGTGGGTGCCCCGGTTTGGGCTCGCAATTACGGGCCTGGTCATACATGGGTCCCCGCTTCTGTGTCCAGGATCACAGGTCCTCTCTCCTACGAGGTTGCCCTGGACAACGGTCGTGTCCTGCGGCGGCACATCGACCAACTTCGCTCTAGGCGAGACTTTTCTGATGAGACTCCTGGGTCTTTTCCAGGGGGGGAGGGGGACCCTTTGGAGCAAAGGGAAGGGCAAGAGCTACTGCCCATCTCCACTGAGGGAGCCACAAACGGCCCATCCCAGGATTCTGCAATTGCTCCGAAAAGGAAGTCATGGAGCTTACCCACACAACAGGCACTCACGCCTACTCCAGCCAGGGAGTCACCCCGGGGGCATACTCACTTTCCACACACATCACACAGCACTCCAGTAACGGAGGATACCCGGGGGCATCCCAACAAATCATTCCCCGCAAGAGAGCTGGCACACAATTCCCAAGGTTGGCCTGACCTTACCCCAAATCCTACAGGGGGTCAAACATACACAGAGCTAGTCGAGGAACCAAGTCCCGACTACAACACCCCTAGCACAAATCAGGGAACACCTGAGTTTTGGGAAAGTACAGAAACCCACACGAGCCCGAGCACAGAATGGGGTTCAGGGAATGGACAGCCTCCTGACGGGTCTTGGACTGACCTAGGAGGTTCTACAGAGACGCCCAGCAGTGGCTATCACTTCAAGGGGCCTGAGGGTCTACAGCTAGGTAGGACAACCAGGTCACAAAGCAACAGAAGCCCTGGCCTGACGAGCCCGGTGGGCAAGCAAGCAGGCCAGGCATCGGGGCACAGTCCTTGGAAGACACCAGGGCACAATAGAGAGAACAGGCTCACGCCTCCCTCCAGTCAGGGGACTTATGCCAGTAACCCAGAGCTAAGAAGGTCACAGAGAGCAAAGAAATCTCCTAAGTATCTAGAAGATTACATAACATTGCTGGCAAGGCAAAAGCCAGTAATCAGTGGGAGCACTGGGGAGCAAAATGTCATATAAAATAAATGTTGTATGTTGGTAGTAGTTTTAGCCCGGGGGAAAGGGGTGTTATGTCCCGAGCCTTGCAAACGGCTCGGGCGTTTGCAGGCAGTCCCGGGCAGGTGCAAAGCTGCCCGGGACCAGACAGGCTGTCGCCAGCGCCGTACGCATGCGCGGGTGCTGGCGCGGGAAAAGTAACCCATTTACCCGGGAGTTGCCTATATAAGAGGCTGCGAGGCGTTTGGGCGAGGCTGAAGCCATCTTCCTGTAAGCTGAACGCTGAATAAAAGAAACTGAGAACTCCAGCTGCTTCTCGTGTCTGTTTTCCCGCCACGGACTCAACAAAAACAGCATTGGCTGAGCTTGCCTGGTATCCTCATAAAGCAGCCAAACCTAATGAAGCTTAGCAGACCTGTCTTTGTCACTAGTTTATGGATCAATGTGGTCAAATCACAGGAAATTGAACAAAGGCAATTTTCCATATTTTCACACATGATCCCATTGGAGTCAAGTTTCAAGGGAAGGAGGAGGTGCAGCATGCCAGAGAAAATGGTTGGCTAGGAAGGAATCGTGGAAAATTTTATCCTGATCGAAATACAGCCTCGATTATGCTGTTGGGGGAAAAGGCTGCAATATAGCCCAACGTGCCGATCAGCAGAAAGATCCCTTACGCAGTTTGCCCTTCGTAGGACAGACGCGCTAAGAGATCGAAAGACTTCAGTTGTGTTATTGTCGCTGAAATCTTCACCATTCCCTTCCTTCCTTTCTAAGCTGATGCGAACGACACCAAACTGCCTTTGCAGCTGTGGGCCGTCTTTCTTTTTCCGGGAGGCATGAGTTTATCAGAAGCACGCCTTTTGTAAGGTCGAGAGACTCAAGCTTTGCATCCCTCCCGATCCTCAATCTCCGCATCTTTGTTCCGCCGCTGGGCTGGAAAAATCGCCCTTGAGCGAGATGCACAGCAACTGGTTCGCAGGCTGCGGGCACTGCAGAAGAACAAGTGGCTCCGGCGGTGGTGACGCAGCTTAATTGCGTCATTTTCCAGGCGCCGCTGGGGTTGGAGATGGGCAGAGGGAGGCATGGCGTGCAAAGGGTAGTCTGGCTGGTCGGAGCTGCGATTGCTATCAATAGGTGAGTGAGCGGGAAGAAAGAGAGTAGGAGGGAGGGAGGAAGATAGGGCACTTCATTAACATTGTCAGAACTATATCGCGCACTTGGTATAAGGGATAAGAGTGTCTCTCAATATGCGTAGTGTGTATCTTTCGTTTATCAGTTAGAAAAACCTGGACGTTTTAAATATGGACAGAACAGAAAGGCATGATGGATGGCTTGAGACAGCTTCTATTATTAAAATTAAAATTAAGGAAGCAGAAATTAGGGAGTAAGGACTTTTCGGGGCAAAAGTTCAGCTGTGTAGGACAAGATATTATATCAACCAGCAGGACTAAATCAGAAAAGTAGCTATAAAATTTCAGGTATCAAGAACATTGTATTTATCCACCTCACACCACCATCCCGGTAGTCATTTTTTCATTATTGCTCTGCCTTTTTTGCCACATATTTGTGATCCCGTGGACAGGAGATGTGTTAAAAAATTACCTTTTGATTTGGACAAACTTGGATTGATACCTATTCTGGGTGGGGCTAAGACAGGCTCCTTCTCCTTAGTATTTTGTTTACTAGCTGTAAATATATGCCAGATGCTGTATACAATATCGAAGAATGTTGTAATTTATAATTTAGAACTTAAAGTTAAGAAAAGAAAGATGAAAGTAAGCACATCAAAGGAATCTGCAGAATGGAAGCAGCCAGAAGAAGGAAGTCAGTTCTTTTAAAGGGAATATCTTTCAATAAGTGTTTGAGCCTTCCTGAAGGGTACTAATCTGGGCCATTGGGGAGGAAAGTGAAGCTAAGGCAATAAAACCAAGGTTGGAACAGAGATGGGGTGATGGTAAATAAGCCCCAGTACAGGACAAGTTAGGTTTCTGATTCCTATCAGGTGTCTCAAGCTGACCAAAGCCAGCCTCCTTCTGCAATTGAGTTGGTCTCATGGGAAGGAGTGGAGAGTGAGACCATGCAGAACTTTGAATAAAAAATAGTATTTAAAACGGACAGGTATTTCAAGCAACTGGAATTGCTTAACTGCATGGATCTTTGCCAGCAAGATGTTTTCCACTCAGCTAAGATCATGGTTATTTCTTTGTAAATCAAAGTATCATTAACATGAATTAGCATTTACTTTCTTGTTAAAGACCAGGTTTGATTCTTTGATGTCCCAATAGGTTTTAATGGAGAATGCTAGAGAGAATGTATTGTCATATGAGTCTTGTTTTGGTAGATTTGGGGAATAGACTATCTTGCCTGAGCTCAAAAGTTGAGATTAGAACTGATTTACATCTCTATAGAAAAAGACCAGAAGATCAGGAGAACTGTAACTGTAGGCTAGACTGAGAAGTCAAGAATGCAGTGACAAATCATTTCTGTATGCTACGATGGTCGACTAGCAGCTGAACTTGACTTAGAGGTAAAACTTTACCTTTTCTTTTTTTTTATTTAAAAGTTTTATTTTCCATTTATCAATTACATAACTATAAAAATTCACATTTAACAAAATAAAATAAATTCATACACCTAACCATAGGTGTTGCTTGCCCACTTCCCCCCAAACTGCATCCACCCTCTCTAACACTCTCCCTTACTTCCCTCCTCTTTCTCACCTCCCCTCACCTCTCTCTCCCCCCCCCTCTTACCATCCTACTTCCTCCTTACCCTTCCTCCTCCACTCTCATCCCTCTACAGTACCGGGGAAATGCCCAAGCAACACCTCTCTCATAAATTACCCTATCTATATCTTACTTTAATTCTATTATCTAACCTACTTACCCACCCACCCCCAGCCCCCCACCCCCCTCACTTCCCAGAGCAGAATACAGGGTTATTAATAACAAAATCAACATAACTTTAAAAATATTATATAATAAACAAATTCATACTTAACCCTTAACTCCCCTTAAACTTTAACATCATAATAGTATAAACAAATCTCTTATAAAACATTTGTTATAAAATTTTAATCATAAAATAAATGGAACTTTTGAGTTCCATATTTATTCTGAATATAATCTATCCATCTTCTCCATACCATAATATATCTTTCTTGTGTATGATCCTTTAAATAAGCAGAAATTTTAGCCATTTCTGCTAAATTAGAAACCTTAAGTATCCATTCTTCTAAGGTAGGCAATGAATCTTTCTTCCAATATAAACCTACTAATAACCTTGCTGCAGTTAATAAATTCAACATTAAAATAGTTTCTTTAACATCTAAATCCGTAAAAATACCCAATAAAAATAATTGAGTAAACTTTATCTTCCTTTTAAAAATCTTTTGAATATTCCACCAAATCATAATCCAAAAGGTCTTAACCTTTTTACAATTCCACCAAATATGAAAATAAGTTGCATCAGTATTACTACACCTCCAACATTTGGGTTGTAAGTTAGAATACATACAAGATAATTTTTTAGGATCTAAATGCCACCTATAAAACATTTTATAAAAATTTTCCCTCAAATTTTGGGCTTGTGTAAATTTAACATTTTTAATCCAAATTATCTCCCATAAATCCAGTGGGATCGGTTCCTGAATATTCTGAGCCCATTTAATCATACAATCTTTGACCAATTCTGTTTCCGAATTTAATTCTATTAACACATTATAATTTTTATATGAGCCTGATTATGATCTTTAATCTGAGTTATCAAATTTTCATCTTCTAATGTTATTCCCTCTTTCTTATCTACAGTCCACCTATCCACTATTTGTAAATATTGAAACCATGACTGCAAAATATTTTCTTGCCTTAATATATCTAAAGATTTTAAATGCCAATTGGTACCAGTCCAAGTTAATATTTCTTTATACGAAATTTTGTCAACATTCATCCCCTTAGAAATCCCCTCAATTGCATGTCCAGGAATCCCCCAAATAGGTATTTTATAATTTAATCTATAATAATACTTCTTCCAAACGTGAAGTAAAGCATTTCTTAAAATATGTGATTTAAAAGCCCGATCAACTTTCTTATTAAAAATTAAATATGCATGCCAACCATACATTAAATCCCACCCTTCAAGAGAAAGAATATCTTTATTTGTTAAATTAAGCCAATTACTTACAAAAGTTAAGGTGGCTGCATCATAATATAATTTCAAGTTAGGTGCTTTAAGCCCACCTCTTTCTCGGGCATCTTGCAATATTTTAAACTTTACCCTTGGCTTCTTCCCAGCCCAAATAAATTTATTGATACCCTTCTGCCATTCATCCAAATTTGCATCTTTCTTTAAAATAGGTATCATCTGAAACAAAAAAAGAAACTTTGGTAGAACATTCATTTTCACAGCTGAAATTCTCCCCAATAACAACAACTGCAACTTTTTCCAATCGTTTAAATCCTTTTGTACTTTTGCCCATAATAATTCATAATTATTCTTATATAATTTCCCATTAGAAGCTGTTATATATACTCCCAGATATTTAACCTTTTTCACCATCTGAAAGCCTGTAAGTTTAACTAAGGTTTCATTCTCCTTAACAGACATATTCTTAGATAATATTTTAGTCTTATTATTATTTACTTTAAAACCAGAAACTTTCCCATACTGAGTTATAAGTTCCAATAAATGAACAACCGCATGGGTCGGTTGTACTAAAGTTAAAACCAAATCATCTGCAAAAGCTCGCAATTTATACTCATTCCTATTTAATTTTATTCCCTTAAATACCGTTGACTCTCGAATCTGGATTAACAAAATCTCCATTGTTAAAACAAATAACAATGGAGATAATGGACATCCTTGTCTTGTTCCTTTTTCAATATTAAAAGTCTCTGTCAGTCCCCCATTAATAATAATTTGAGCAGATTGTTGCTGATATATGGCCTTAAGAGCATATAAAAATTTATCACCAAAATGCATTTTCTCTATCAATAAAAATAAAAATTGCCAGTTTAATTGATCAAAAGCTTTCTCCGCATCCAAAAATATAAAGGCCACAGGAATCTGATTATTCTTATCCAAATACTCAGTTAAATTAAGAATTTGTCTTACATTATATTTCATGTACCTTCCTGTTATAAATCCTGATTGATCATTGTGAGTCAAATCCTTCATAACCTGCATTAATCTATTTGCCAAAATTTTTGAAAAAATCTTGTAATCCACATTTAACAAAGATATAGGTCTGTAATTCTTAGGCTCAGTAAGATCTTGATCCTCCTTCAGGATTAATGAGATAAACGCCCTTCTCCGCGAAGGGGGGACCTGAGCTCCCAACAAAATACTGTTAAATAACTCCTTTAATGGCTCCATCATCACCTCTGATAGAGTTTTATAATACATTGATGACAATCCGTCTGTTCCTGGAGACTTTCCTACTTTTAACTGCTTAATAGCTAAACCAATTTCCTCCAAGGTAATTGAACAATTCATCACATTTTGTTGTTCCTCAGAAAGTTTGGAAAAATGTACTGATTGTAAATACTTTTCTACATCTGCAGGATGTATGTTATCACTAGAATATAATTTTGTGTAAAAGTCTAAAAAACTCTTTTTAATCAAACTATCCTGAAAAACCTCACTACCTTTATATTTTACTTTCTCTATAATTCTTGTCTTCTGTTTCTTTCGTAATTGATAAGCCAACCACCTCCCAGGCTTATTTGCATTACAAAACATGTTATGTCTCATATAACGCTGATTGGTAGCAACCTGATCTGCCATTAACATATTAAATTGTTCCCTAAGCATATTTATAGATATCTTTAATTTATTATCAGTTGGATTCGCAACAAAGGCCTCTTCTTTTAATTTTATCTCTTCTTCTATTTCCTTATGTTTTTGTGTCATTTTACCCCTATAAGCTTTATTCATATGAATCAAAATTCCCCTCATGTAGGCTTTACTAGCATCCCACACCATAGGCATTGGGGTTCCCTTATTCATATTTAAAACAAAAAATTCCTTCAAATGCTCTTTACATTTTTGTACCAAATCTTCCCGAGTAAACAAATTCTCGTTCAATCTACAGGATCTTCTGTTCCCATCTTCCACAAATAGCTCCATCCACACCGGACTATGATCAGACAATGTCCTAGGAAAGATCTTAGCCCTCTTAACCCTAGAAAAAAGATCATTAGTAATTAAGAAAAAGTCAATCCTTGAAAATGATTGATGTCTATCCGAATAAAAGGTGAAGTCTCTGTCAGTTGTATTCCTTTCTCACCAAATGTCAATAAGCTCCAACTCATCTTTCAAATCAAAAAAGGCTTTGGGTAGTTTAGTTTGAGTAAAAGTTTTAGAACTCTTTTTATCTTTCATTGAATCCAAAACTCCATTCCAATCTCCCATCAAAACTACAGATTTATAATCCAACTGCAAAAACTTATAGAATTGCTTCTGTTGTTGATTAGGGGTATATAATCCAACGATAAGAACTTTCTTGCCTTGTAAAACTAAATCTATAAAAACATATCTTCCTTGAGAGTCAGAATCTATTAATTTAGCCGATAAATTCCTTTTCACATAAATTACTACTCCCCCTTTTTTCCCTGTGGCTGGAGCCGTAAAGTGTGATCCCAGGCGAGAGTTTATCAAATATTTAGAATCCTTTAAAGTTATATGAGTCTCTTGCAGACATATTAAGTCGTTGTGCTGTTTCAAATAATGAAAAACTTTTTTCCTTTTCTGCGGTGAATTCAAGCCATTAACATTCCAGGTCAGGAACTTTGCCATCTCCACCGGCCTGAAGCCTCTGAAGCATACCCTGAAGATCCATTGTCGAGGATCTTTTAGGTCTTGCCCCTCCCACAGGCTCTGTCGTGACATTTTCTTCTATTTTTCCACTGATCTTCTGTTGTTGCTTTTTCTCTCTATGCTTATAGGCAGCTCGTGTAATCCTCTGTTCTTTTATGTCAAGATTCTGTACAGCAGGTTCACCTTGTTCTTTAACAATCAATGAAGAGGCTCCTGCAGCTACTAATTCTTCTTCAGTTTTACTTGTTTGTGGAGATGAAGATGAACTTGCCTTCAGAACAGAGAAATAAAAATCTTTTGCCTTTGACACTGTAGTTAATCTGTAACGTGTACCAACGTAATTCACTGCTATCCCAGTTGGAATCTCCCATCTAAACTGTATTTGGCGACGTTTTAACTCATCAGACAGGAAAGTAAAGTCTTTTCTTCTTCTTAAAATTTTTTGGGGTATGTCTTTTAAAATTATAACATCTTGGGCTGCGATTTGAAACCTCTGTTTATAAAAAACCTGTATAATTTCATTATGAATAAATCTTCTAGAAAAATAGATAACCACATCTCTCGGTAAATTTCTTTGTCTGGCAACCCGTGAGTTAACTCTGAAGATTTTTTCTATCTCATTCCCAACTTCCTCCGGTCTCCAACCCAAGTTAAAAGCAATATCTTTAACAATAAGCCCCTTTAAATCTTCTTGTAAATTTTCTTTCAATCCTCTGATACGCAATGCAAACTCCAATTCTCTATACTGTGAAAACTTTATCTTTTCTATGTAGGAATTTGTGAAATAGATTTTCAAGAGCTATAAACAAAATTCACACTGAGAAGACCACCAGAGTCCTGTTCTTTATTCTGTGTTCAGTGGTCATCCAGAGTACGGTAACTTGTTAATGCAAGGGCTATAGTGATAAACTGCCATATATGGTAAATAAGAAGAAAAAACACAACTGAGCAATCAGATGTATATTCCCCAAGCAGGACCTATGCCTATTATACATTTCAGGTTCTTTTCACATTTATTACTAACCTGATTTTTAATTCTTTGTTGTTGTTTGTTTGTTCCATTTAATTATGACCAATTCTTGGAGTCTGCCTAGATAGGTCCCTGCAGTTTTCTTGGCAAGATTTCAAATGTGGTTTGCCATTGCCTCCAGAGAGAAATGACTGGCCCAAGGTCACCAGCTGGCTTTGTGCCTAAGGTCGGACTAGAACTCACTCTGTAGCCTGATGCCCTAACCATTATACGAAACTGGCTCTCTTCTATTATAAAGTGTTAAATAAATATTTGGTCTTTATGTACATAATCTGAAATAATTGTATAAACTGGTTATGAATTTCTTTGCTTGTTTTACATAATTTAGTCTCCTTCCACTGGTCCTAGAGAGAGGCAAGAAGCCTTGGATTTTGGTGATTTTGCTGAGCATTACTCATATGCTTTGAAACCTGCTCTGCCACTTTAAGGCAAGTGCATATTCAAATGAAAGCTGAGATTCTCAAAATGTTTTCACTATCTAATCCAGTACCCTCCGGATAACAGGGACTGCCATTAGAATTCTCTGCCATTATTATTGCCAAATTATTGCCATTATTAATTTACTTATTAATTGATTTCAGTAGCTGCCCAAAATCAGTTGAGATAGACAGCTATAAAAATCAAATAAATAGATAAATAATAACAACAGTCCATGCTGACTAGATATTTTATGTGAACACAACTAGAGCATCCTTTGGGAAAGCTTGCTTATTATCTAGCAGTTAATTAGTACCTTTTTATCGCAATTTTCTTTGCTGCCAAGAAATATTCCCTAGCAGTGGTGGGCATATGTAGATGGGGGCTGTATAATGCTTGGTGGTAGGAATTTCCTAGGTTGGATGACTCTGGAACTGAAATACTACTAGTTTTCTTATATCATTTTTCTAAAAATAGTTGTTTTTGTCCTGATACACTTTGCTCAGACTGCTTCAGAAGTGATTTGTACTTAAAACACTTCTGGGAGGTTAAAAATAGCTGTTTCAAATGTAGAATAGAACTAATTTGAAATGTTTTGCCCTCTATTACCTAGTGCCAATGAGTAAAAATTGTAGGAAATACATTTTGGCTAAATGTATATAGCGAAGCCTCTTAACTACGTGAGCTATTTAAATATAGAATAGAATTCCTAAAATACACAGGTGGATGGCCATTTTGTGGTTATGTACTACATTTTAAATCCTGTGTGAAGTACAGAGGCTAGATTTAACAACCTTCTGTTCTCCTCCAACCTTATAATACCAAACCACACCATGACTTTTGAAAGAGGAACTATGTATGGAACTTGAAGATGATAAATTATATCAACTGATCTTACTAAAAGATATTAGAAGATTAAATTATAGAAGTTTTGAGTGGTTTTATTTCTTCAGTGAACTTTCTTCTTTAGTAGGACAGTGCTACTCCCATGGAATATAGATTAAACGAGAATAGGGGAGAGCACAGCTGGTGTTTTCCCCATACACTTGACTGTATCCATTACATCAGGGGTATCAAACTCAATTTCATTGAGGGCCACATCAGCATTACGGTTGCCCTTGGGGGGACGGGGAATGTGTGGCCAGGGTGGGTGTGGCCTTCTTGGTGGGCATGGCCAGCTCTATATCGTTCGCGTCAAGGGTGCCTGGGCAGAAGTGGGACAGATCTGAGGGTCTCTGGCAGAAGGGGGTGGGACCAGGGCAAGCGCCAAGGCATAGTCCATTTCTTCATTCCTCACAAAGTTTGACACCTCCCCAGCATGCACCCAGGGGGCAGGGCCGACACAGCAGGGGCTGGTTCCTTGCTGTTTACAGACGGCCTTGTGGAGCTAAGGCTGAATGTGTTTCAGCATAGATGGCCACCTCAAAATTGTACATTGGCTCCTGGCCAGCCTGGGCCAGGGCCAAGGCAGCAGGGGATGTTCCCTCACTGTTTCCAGGATGGCTTTGTGGGCTGCATCCGGCCCCTGGGCCTTGTGTTTGACATGTCTGCATTACATAGAATGGCATTCATCCAAGACTGATAAAATTGCTTATTGCAATCCCAGAGCTTCCTCTTATTTATACAGCTGGCATTTTAGCTCTATTGCTTTCCAAAATAGGCTTTCCATTACTAACTAGGTTTTTTGACTTAGCCCCATGGACAAGAAAAATTGTAATACTGGTAAGGTTTATAACCTGTTCTGTATTCTGCAGCCTTTTAGCAACTTCAGAATCATTCATAATAAAGCTTGTTGATTGATCCTGAATGTATTCAAATAGCTTTGATGGGTTGTTATACAAACTGCCATATTATCCCCTGCAAAAAACTAATTAATAGCATACTGAGTGATAGGTCTTTTCAGATAACGGGGAACAACATAAGTAAGATAAGAAAAGTGAATAACGGCCTCCCCCAAGGCTCTGTAATGGCACCTACACTATTCAATTTATATATCAGATATGCCAGCGTCAAGGGAACACAAATTTGGATACACGGATGATTTGGACATAGCTATGCAAGAAAAAAAACACGGAGGTGGCTTACAGCCTCCTGTCCAAAGATCTTAAAATCTTGGGAAACACCTAGAGAATTTGGTGGCAAAAATCAATACTAGGAACAACATACTTTAGAAATTATGTGGAACTAAATGGAGAGCTTCACCCTCAGGTCATCAATACTAGGTTGGTCTACTCCACAGCAGAATAGTGTGACCCCTGTATGGCTTAAAAGCTACCATACTAGTAAATTAGACCCAGACTCAACGACACAGGTCTATAAGCAGATTATTAAAACCACTCCAACTTGCTTCATATACTGTATTTCTCAAAAAATAAGACAAGGTCTTTTTTTTTTTTTTGCTGCCAAAAGAGGCACCAGGTCTTATTTCTTTTGGAGGGGGGATGTCTTTTCCATGGTCTCACCTTGTGGCAGCGGCACCAACAGCCCCTGATGCACGCCCCTCCCCCGCCCTGCATTTCGCCATCAGAGGCCTTTCCAAAAGGCCTCTGACAGCAAAATGCAGGCCAGGGGTGCCGCAGAAGAAGTGGGGTGGTAAGCCTGGCTGTAACAGTAATTGGGGTGTGGGGTGCATGGGGCAGCTCCACCTTACCCTAGCTTGATTTTTAGGTGTGTTCCTCACCCCAAAATGAGGGCTTATTTTGGGGGGAAGACTTATATTAGGCTCACCCCCAAATATCAAGCTAGGGCTTATTTTCGGGGTAGGTCTTACTTTTGGGCAAACACGGTAGCATCCTCAGCTTTACGAAGGCAAGATGTACTAGTGAGAGAACATAGAATAATTATGAACAACTCACTGCTATCAGTGCATGCTGACCTTCCTCATTTATCAGCAAGAAGACTCAAATCCAGGAAGCTCCCAATGGCACTTATACAATATCTGCCCAACAACTTTAACATCAATTCTCAGTGGAAAGACAAATGGGTTACTGAACAGCCAAACATAGGAAGCCATATAAATGATCCCACAAAAAGATGCCAGGTTTTGAACTACCATGTCAGCAATGGGCAATCCTGAATAGGATTTGCACCTTACACATCATCTTAAGGGACTCTCTGTATAAATGGGGCATTGTATCCTCTTCTCAGTGTTCCCAGGTCAAACTGTAGATTACATCACACAAATAGGAATCCTTACAAAGAAAAACTTGCTAGAAACCATACAAACCAAATTCCTCTGAGCCATCTTAGCTGTACCCAAAGGAACCCCAAATGCCCAATTAAGAATTGAGACAGGCATGCCCCAAATTCAGGTAAGAGCCTGGAAGATGATGATCATCACTGGCTTAAAGTGCATTTCTTTCCAGAGGGACTGTCCCCGTTAGTGCTGACTGACAACTTTCCCTCCCTCTAGAAGCAGGTGATAGATCATAAACTGGGCTCTTACAGGCTCTCATTGTTATTCTTAATGTCCCTAGGCTTTGACCAAGCAAAGCAAGTAGTATTCAATAGAATAAAGGACATGGAGTTCCAAGAAGAACTAAATAGGTTGCCTTGCCACAGTAGGGATAGAATAAAACAGGGTGTATGGGAATCGGCAAGATATCTGAATGATCTGACCTTCCCAAAACAAAGAATAGCTTTCTTCAGAGCCAGATTTAACATTCTTCCCTCAGCACTGCTTCAGGGTCTGGAGACATTTTTAGGAGGAATGATTGAAATATTTGGTATATTTAGCAAGAGCTGTTCAACAAAGAATAAACCAACTCAGGAAGTGATGGACTCTGTCAGATTGCCATCTTCGCTATGCTTGCTGGCATCCTGCCATATATGGAAGGGGGGTCAAAGCATTTGGGGAAGTGGTGCAGGAGGGGAATGTAAGGGGGGGAGGGAATGGCACTGACAGGAACCAATGTGTTAAACCCAGTTGATCCAGTCGCCCCAAGGACAGCTGCCATGGGAAAGAATGCAAAACCATTTCAAGATTCCTCTGACGTCAAAGCAGTTCCCAAAATAGCGCACTGGCATGCTCTTAGACACTGACAATCTGGTCAAGGGAGAGGGCCACAGAAGGGGAAAACCTTGTAATCTTTGTGTGGGAATCTTCAGTTCTAGCCTTGCTTTGTTTGCAACCACTAAGCCTTAGTAAAAAAAACAACCCTATCACTTCAATAAAATGGAGTCAAAGGTCTTTCTTTCCTTGGGTCCTAGCTGGGGCAAGCCTAACAGTCTCCTTCACTAAAATAGTTTAAATAGATGCTCTAGCAATGGATTCTTGTAGTGGCCAAAAGAAAGGCTTGGAAGACTTGTAACATCCCTTCCAATCCCCACCTTCTACCCCTACATTCTATAAAGCCAATGAAAGTTGAAATCCCAGCCATTCCAATATTAGCTTGTTATGATTTTCAAAAGACTAAAGAGCTCAGTCTTTGCATTCTACCAATTATACATCCATAGGAGAGGGCTCTCTGCAGAATAATGTTCAGTTGTGCAAGGCTTAAAGTTTTTTGCACTCTAAAACATTATAGAAAGCATTTATTTAAAATATTTGTATAGCCACCAATCTTAAAAGTAACTCAGTCTCTTTCAACCAACAGAACAATGCAGTAAATACAATCAAAAAACAAAAATCAATAAAACTAAAATACAGAATAACTGTATTAGTGCCATGACTGCTCTTCTCAGATGTAACCCACATTCTCCTCTCACCCGACTCCAGCATTTGGGGAAAGAGCCAGGTCTGAGTGCTCTCCTAGGACTATGTTGTATCTCAGGGAAGTGGAGGTTCCTTGGATTTTGGGCTGCAACCGAAAAGCATGATGCACTCTGCTATATTTAAAAAATGCAGTGCATTGTTAAGGGTTTCTGGAAGGCAGACTCAGACTTTACAACGTATGAATAAGAATTTGGGAAAAATACTAGTGATAAAAAATAGAAATCTTTATGAAATCTTTATAAGAATTAGAGAAAGTTCAGTGAAACTTATTATTCTACTATTCTACTCCACTTTTTTATCCAACATGTTAAGTTATATATCTGAAAGATTGTGAAAAGGGATGTGATAAAATTAAATCATATTGGTATGCTTAATAGAATTGTTTAATGATCTAGCAGTTTTGAAAATAAATCTCTAGGCTAGGGAGATAAGATCTATTTATTCTCTTTCCCAATAGCATTATAATTGGATATTTTATCACTGTTTGAAAGAGGAAACAGAAATGTTAAAATTACAGACATAAGAATTGTGCTGCTGACTGAAAGAATACCTGCAGCCCAGAAAGTGAAAGAGACTAGTATCCAACTTTAGTACTCCAAATTACCAGAAGAATATTTAATGGAAAGAAAATTTCTCAGGTGCATTACATAAGATGCAGGGTATTACATGTAACATCCCCTTTAATCTAATTTAATTGAAAGATGTATGGTGTATAAATTTAATAAATAATAATCACTTGCAAACTTTTTATTTGCTTGCTAAAAATTTAGAAACAAGAGACATCTATTATCGAAGTTGTGGATTCTGTGAAGGAACAATGAGAGGATTTAAAGAGTTTACAAATCAGCTATTGATTTGGTTATAGGATACTTTTTTATATTTTGGGGGGGTTAACATTGAAGTCTAAGAGTTTTTTAATCTGTTAATTTTAATGATGCTGGATTTGCATAGCTACACTCTTTTCTGTCTTCCCCTTTTTGACCCCTCTTCACAACCTAATTACTCTGCTGTACTTCATCTGATGAAGTGAGCGATAGCTCACAAAAGCTGTTATGCCTTTTAATAAAAAATATTAGTCTGAAAAGATGCTATCAGACTGCTTCAGAAATTCCTGTTTGTTTTTTCCTTCTTGAGGCCAGGGCAGCTACTCTCTGGGATAATAAACAGCTTCTGTTTATCTTTTCTGTGCCTTATAGCCTAAGGAGGAGGTTTCGTAAGAATAGGAGAGATGTACAAACCAAGAGAGTAAAGCAATTGTTTCAGCTTTGGGCAACAGTAGCTCAAGTTCCTGATATTGTGCAACTTGCAGGAAGGATGGTTTAATTTTTGCAGTTAGGCACTCTGTTGAAGCCACAGTAGTTCAGGAAAAAAACAAAAACAAATGTGGGCCATAAATGTTCATCTCTTGAACAAAACCACTCATGGAGCATATTCTTTGAAGGTTGTTTTCAAGGGAGCTGCCTGAGCAATTTTATTTGTTGGCTGACAGCTTTGTGCAGCACTAAAATTTATCCAATGTTTACCTACCTTTAGGTAAGTACTTTTTTTTGCAAGACAATGTGTCTTCCTACATGTGTGCTGTATTTCCAGATTGGAGACCCAATAATAGAACAGGAGCCCATGTCTGGGCTAGATCTCCATCTGGGATCAGATATTTCTCCTGATTGTGCAGGTGTGGCTGTCTAAGCTTATCTTTTTACATTACTGTCCCTAACTATCACAGTCTATCATTCCCACTAATGTATAGATTGAGTTTGTCTATAATTTTCATTGAATATGAATTATATAGTTTGCTATATTCTATACCAATTTATTAATAATGTGAGAAAATGCTTGCGTGTGTAGTTTAAAAAAATGTTGAAAGTCCTTATCACGAAGGCTAAATTTACTCAAATCTAGTTTCTATTTCTTATTTTTTTTCCCCTAATAATGTACTTTTTTTGTAGAAATGCCACTCTGGATAAAAGTTTAATACAGATGTTTAAGATATTGCCATTATTTATGTCAATCATTGTATTGTATGCTTGTAAACTGGACATTGTAAGAAAGGGACAGAGCTTGCCTTTAGATTTCCAGAAATATAGGTAGTCCTCGACTTACAAAAGTTAGTTTAGTGACCACTCAAAATTACAATGGCACTGAAAAATGTGACTTATGACCATGTTTCAAAGTTACAACCTTTGCAACATCCCTATGGTCATGTGATCAAAATTCGGATGCTTGGCAATTGATTCATATTTATGACCATTGTGTCCCTACCTGTATTCAGGATAGATAAAAACTACTAATTTGGTTGATTATCCTAGTTTGCTTAAAAATTTGGCCATGAATAACAGACAGTTTTCTGCAATAGGAGCTTCATAAAGCAAAATGGTTTCACCCACCTTGCCTGTCATCTAAGCAGTCACTATTTACATGTCTAGTCTGTGCCGGTGACAGCAGTGTAGATTTGGTAAGAACAGCCTCAGGAGCAATGCCTCATTTCCAATAGTTCACTGAAAACTCCTTGTACTGATCAGAATGGATAGATCTTAAGAGAGCAACTAAGGTATTTACAAGTTCAAATCTTAACGTTACCACAACATGACATTATAGCTGCTGCCATTTGGTTTATTCCCATACAGCTATCCATAATTGGAAAAATCAAATGGATTGTGTAAATGTTGCATTTCCTTCCCTTCTTGTGTAGTCTTGTGGTATCCCCAAATTGCTGAAAGGTGCTTTGGTGAATCATTTTTGTGTGTGTGTGTGTATATTTGAAATAATCATGAAAATAAGAAGACTGATTTTGTGGAAGACAAATTACTATAGGTTACAATAACTTTGACCATTATGTTAGAGAAGAAAACTTTCACTGTTTATCATTTAGGTTAGAAATGCTTTCTCTGGACATTCAACACCAAGGACTAACCTTGAGTCCACCTGCAGTCTTCCATTGCTAGATCAAAAGGAAACGTTAGCTTACATAAAAGCAACACATGGTATTAAGTTAATTGTAAACTTGTTTTGAGCTTAGAATTTCCTTTTTAAAAAGAAGCATTATGGATAATAGAGTTGTGCAAAGAAGGAGTAGGGGTAACATGATAGCAGTGTTCTAATATCTAAGGGGCTGCCACAAAGAAGGCGGGGTCAATCTATTTTCTAAAGCACCTAAAGGCAAGATGAAGCAATAGATGGAAACTAATCAAGGAAAGAAGCTCTTTTTGTGCTATATTAAAGCATTAAAAATCCTTAGAGATAGTCTATATTTAACAACTGCAGCAAATTCAGAGCCTGTATTTTTATTGTGTAGATGAACTTTTTTTCCCTTTCATTCAATCTTGTCCAGTTCCCAGAGAGTGCCTGAATTTGATCACCAGAACATGTATATATAATCCAGGAGCTATATGCATTTTTCTCTTGCCTGCAGGGTCCTTCATGGACTAGGCTAGGAAGAAAAGTCGTAGCCATCATGGGGCAAAGTGAATCGGAGCCACAGAAGGAGGAAGAGGTATGGCCACTGTGTTTTTCACTAACGGATAGCTGCTCATCTACTTCCTCTGCTCTTCCTCTCTCTCTCTTCCTTTTGCTTAGTAGACTTTCTCAAGTGGAGAACCCAATAGTACTGCCTTTCACCATTCCCTGCTTAATAAAGAGTGCATGCTTAACTGTCCATCTTGCATCTTTTTTTGTGCCATGTAGAGATCACTTTGCTTTTAAACATGAGTTTGCATGTTTCCAAAATCAGCTTGTTGTCTTACCTCTTTATATTGCATTGATACTTATGCAATATGATTCTTGCCAATGAAATGTTTAGTGCATTGCCATAGGGCCACCCAACCAATCAGAACAAATAGATGGACTCTTTGCCAACCAGTTAACAAATGTATATAGGAAGCATACCACAGTAGTAATGGGAGACTTCAGCTACCCAGATATTAGCTTGGAGACAAAATCTGCAGTGAGCGGGAGATCAAACAAATTCTTAACCAACCTAGCTGACAACTTTGTCATCCAAAAGGTAGAGGAGGGAACTAGAAGTAAAGCTATACTGGACCTAATTCTTACTAATAGAGAAGAAGTGATAGAGGGAATTGAAGTTGCCAGAACCTTGGGGGGAAAGTGACCACCTCATACTGGGATTCAAAATAATGCAAACACAAGCAATAGAAAATAACTCAACCAATGTCTTAAACATCAAAAGAGCTGATTTTAACAAACTCGTTGAGAACCTAGGAAAGATTCCATGGATGAAAATCCTAAAGGGGAAAACAACTCAAGAAGCAAGGGAAACTCTGAAAATGCTATCATAAAAGCCCGGACCAGCACAATACCACTGAAAAAAAACCCAAAGTCAAGAAGAAACCAGCATGGTTGCACAAATATATCTTAGACAACTGAAAGACAAAAAGGACAAGTACAAAAAATGGAAAGAAGGACACATAACTAAGACTGATTATCAGCACACAGATAGAACATACAAAGACGAAATCAGGAAAGCAAAGACTCAAAATAAAGACTTGCAACAGAAATCAAGGATAATAAAAAAAAAGTTTCCTCCAACATATTAATAACAAGAAAAAAGGCAAGGAAACTGTAGGTCCACTAAAGAGAGAAGATGGCAAGGAAGTAACAAGCAATAGGGAGAAAGCAGAACTGCTTAACTCGTGCTTTGCATCAGTCTTCACACAAAAAGAAACTATAGCACAACATACCCCAAAAAAACACTGTAAAAGACAAACTAGAAACAAAAATTAAAATAAGCAAGAAAATGATAAGAGAACACCTATCCAACTTTGACAAATATAAGTCACCAGGACCGGACAGATTATATCCCAGAGTTCTGAAGAAGCTGGCAGATGTCATTTCAGAACCATTGCACCATATCTTTCAAAAATCCTGTAGCACCGGGAAAGTACTTGACAATTGGAAAAGGGTTGATATGGTTCCCATCTTCAGTAAAGGAAAAAAAACAGACCCAGGAAACTACAGACCAATCAGTCTAACATCAATACCTGGGAAGATCCTGGAAAAGATAATCAAAAAACAGATCTGCAAACAACTAGAAGCAAACAAAGTTATAACTAGTAGCCAGCACAGGTTTGTTAAAAACAGATCATGCCAAACCAATCTTATTTCATTCTTTGATAAAGTGTCCAAATTAATAGACCAGCGAAATGCTATGACCATAGTATATTTAGATTTCAGTAAGGTATTTGACAAAGTAGACTACAATTTACTGCTTGGTAAGCTAGGAAAAGGTGGAATAGACAACATCACCACCGATGGATTTGCAGCTGGCTGGCAAACCGTACTCAATGATTAGTCCTCAATGGTACTACATCCACATGGAGAGAAGTAAGCAGTGGGGTACCACAAGTCTCTGTCTTAGGTCCAGTACTCTTCAGTATCTTCATCAATGACTTAGATGAGGGAATAAACATTAAACTGGCAGGAATAGCCAATACCCCAGAAGACAAGCTCAGGATTCAAAAAGATCTTGACAAACAGGAACAATGGGCCCTATCCAACAAAATGAGTTTTAATGTGGAGAAAAGCAATGTTTTACATTTAGGCAGGAAAAATCAAAGATATAAGTACAGATTAGATGAGACCTGGCTCAAAAACAGTAACTCTGAGAGGAACCTTGGAGTCTCAGTCGACGATCACTTGACTATGAGCCAGCAATGTGCTGCAGCAGCCAAAAAAGCTAATACAATCCTGGGTTGTATAAACAGGCATAGAATCAAGATCACACAAAGTATTAGTACTGCTTTATAAAACCCTAGTGCACGCATGTGAAACTCGCGACGTCACATGGTGTGGCATGATATATCGCGACTTTTTCCCCATTACCGGCAATGGGGTGGGTGCTGTTTTGGTGTGACGCATCCAGCCCATGAGTTGGCAGTTTGACGTAATAAACATTGTAATGAGGTAACATAGAAGCCGGAAACCAATGCGTGACTGTGGCCAAACCTGATTCATCTGGAGAAGAGCAAAATTATCATTTCTCATGATAAAAATTCCTAGATATGAAAGTCTTCCAGATATCAAATATCAGACATCTGATACTTGATGGAAATGCTACTCCATCATAAATAGGATGCATACCTCTCTTTTAAAAATACTAAACATTTGGTTACTCAGACAGGTACCAGATATCAATTTCAGATATCAAAATAAAAAGCCCACTTCTCAGTTAAATTTCTCTTTGAAACTGTAGCTGTTCCATAGCACTTACAGTATCTACTGGGTGCATTGTTGCACAAATCCAATATTCAAACAATGCCAAAAAAATCTTTGATTCCACCTTGTGGTAATTAGATCAAAGAATCAATTGATCAACCCTTAGATTTTTTAAAAAAATTATCATTTGAGGGTACTGTGGGAAGAAATATATTTTAAAAATGCAATGCATGGAGTTACCAAAGCATTATGCATGTCATTTGGAGAAAGTTTTTCATACACAGCTCAAGGAGCCACGAATCACAGCCCTTAGAATGCCTGGCTATGAAGTATGGATGGAAGGAAGCAGGATTGAGGGTGGCATGATTTTCTGCCAAAGCTAAGACTGAGGGAAGCAAACATAGCAAAGCAGCTGAGTGGACATGGCCTGTACAATAAAATCATTTCCCGGTGTTGGGCTTTAAAACCAACACAGTGGGATGATGAGGATGAGCTTCCACTTGATGTGGATTACTCTTTTGTTTCTCAAGCAATGTTCTCAAAGGCAAGACATTGTGATCTACAGAAAAAGTGGTGGGAGTGGCTGTGGGAAATTACAGATACATCAATGTGACATCAATGCCTGGGAAGATCCTAGAAAAATAGTCAAGCAGCACATTTGTGAGCACTTACAAACAAGAGAATTAATAGAAGCTGGCATGGAATTGTCGAAAACAGATTATGCCAAACAGACCTTATTGCCTTCTTTGACAAAAAGACTAAATTAGTGTTTAAGGGAAATGTTGTGGATATTTTAGTTAGACTTCAGTAAGGCATTTGACAAAATTGACCTCAGCCTATTCCTTCGTAAAATAGAACAATGTGGGATAGACAATACCACCACCAGATGGATTTGCTACTGGCTGACCAACCGCAATGGAACTACATCTACATGGAGGGAAGCATGCAGTGCAGTACCTCAAAATTCTGTCTTAGATCATCTTCATAAATAATCTATATGAGGGGATAGAAGGGAAACTCATCAAATTTGTAGATGATACGAAGCTTGGGGGAATAGCTAACACTTTAGATGAGAAACTCAAAATTCAAAAGTACCTTGACAGACTTGAACACTGGGACCTATCCAGAAAAATGAAATTCTGTGATGAGAAAAGTAAGATCCTACAGATAGGCTACAAAAACCAAATGCAGAGATATACAGTAGAATAAATATTCGTCTAAGGACCTGCCTCAACTAGGTCTCCAAAGAAAGCAGAACTCTTTAAAAAGGCATTATCTCAAAAGGAACTTTTTTATATAATATTTTATTGATTTTCTCATTTTACAATTGGATATTTAAAAAGCAACATGATGACTGGGTTAATCAATAGTTCGATAGTGTACATAAATCTTTAGTATAAATCTCATGTTACAACATCAAATATTTCCTCTCTTTTTCCATTAATATCTGTTATCTCACATTGGGCTAGTACAATTCTTATTGTTATCAGCTAAATAAAAACATCTTTGTTACACTTATCAATAATTTTTAGCTTATACATATCTTAATTGCGTTTGCACTTAATCCTTGAATACAATCAATGTCCTGTTGCTTTTTTTTCAGGCTTTACTTTCCCATCAATATTCAAAGTAACACTATTATTTATGATTTCCAAGTATTTTATGTTTAGGTGACCAAAAGTTTCCCTTATCTCAACTTCTCCCTTTTTTCCTTTTCTAATATTCTGGTTACATATCTTATCTATTTGATTATAATATTGCTCTGTTTTCTAAAAGTTATCTATTTTCCACCATGTTCAGTCATCTAATTGATAATACAGTATCTTCTAATAAATCAAAACTATTATATTGTCTGGGTTAACCAATAATTCAGTAATATACATAAATTTTTAGTTTAAGTCTAATTAGAACCTCAAATACTTCTGTCTTTCCAATAATATCTGTTATCTCATTTTCGGGAAATACAATTCTTATTTTCCACTAAGTAGAAACATCTTTGTTACATTTATCGATAATTTTTAGCCTATACATATCTGGATTGCGTTTGCACTTAATATCCTTGTATGAACGATGTCCTGTTATTGCTTCCCCCCAAAACTTTAATTTCCCATCAATATTCAAGAAAACACTATTATCTATGATTTCCAAGTACTTTAGGTGACCAAAGTCTTCCCTCAAAAGGAACTTTTATTAGGGACTAGTGATAGCAGGGAAACAAAGCAAGGTCTGAGGGAAAAACCTGCACAAGCAGTATATCAAAAACAATATTCATTACTCCTCCACCCTGGGTCTCAGGATCCATTTGAATTACAGCCAATCCAC